TACACTGGATTTGGGAGGGAACAGTTAGTACCACTTTAAGAAATATTATTATGTATATTTTAAATAATAATAATAGAAATCATCTGTCTATATCTCTGAGATGAATTATTATGATTACTTGCATTATTTACATTACTCGGACATTTATCTTCATCTTCATTGCCATATACACAAAGTTTCGGCCGTTATGCGCTCTTGGCCTTCTTCAGAGCCGATCAAGCATAGAAATGAATACAATATGGGAACCGGTAACAAGGAGTTTTACAGAAAAGCAATGAATAACAACAAAAATTGCAATATAAGCTCTGGTAAAAAAAATTGAATTAATAATAATAGAAAAAAATTGCAACATGAACACTGGTAACAAAAATAGTTGCTGAAACATTAGGTTTATAAGTCCCAAAATTTCAGATGTTCTCAAGGACACATGTCCCAGTAGATAAAGACATTGGTTAGATGCAGTGACTAGACCCAACGAGTTGTGAGTTTAATACAGCAGTGTTGAACTAAAACCTGGAGAGTTGAGTTAAAGGGAGATAACGGAGAGGCATGGCACGTGGAACTAGAAAAATCTACCCCGGTGGATGAAATAAAAGGTTCGGTTCGAAATTCCAATGACCTGAAGAAGGCCGGAGCTTACAACGGCCGAAACGTTGTGAATATGGCAATGCAGATGAGGTTAACAGTCCGAGTAATGTAAATAATGCAAAATAAATATAGAAATAATAAAATAGAAATCGATAAATAAATGACTCTTCTGTAGAGATTTAAATAAATTATCGTCTTCCATAGCTTCCTATTCTTTGACCCTTACCAAAGTTTCCATCTTTCTCAATTTATGTTCTGGTATCCATTAACACAAGATTATTCGCTGTTTCCTCTGGCTTGCGTACCTTCACTATGTCCTGTGAGTGTCAAGTTCTTCATGCCATCTTTCCTCATTATGTGTCCAAAAATTTCTGTTTTCTTCAGTGTCTAAGTGTTCTATTTTTGCCACTTTCCTTAAAACTTCCTCGTTACACACATGTTCAGTCCATTGTATTCTCAGATCGAAAATAGTGTACTGCTGCCATATGAGCTGCCCAGTCTTTTCTTACCAGTTTTGAGTCCTAAAGAGTCTCTGTGTCCTTGTGGGTGATGAATTATTTCTCATTTCCATGGAAAGTGTCCAGACGAAATACATTCCTTATTTCTACCAGTTCCAACCTTCAAGGCTAAGACCTATCATGCCAAGCACATTGTAATGAGCTTCCTTCATTCCTTTTGTATTCCATTGGTGAGATGTAATCGGGGAGACTAAAACCAAACAAATACAGAAGTTTAAATATTCGTCAAGTGTTCGAGCAGAGTACGTAAAGTGCGACACTAAGATCCAAAGACGTATTGGAATGGCCGAAAATGTATACCAAAAGCTAAGCAGAGTATTAAGAGAGAGAAAAATTTCGTTAGAAACAAAGAAAAGAGTACTGAACTGTTACAAGATAATATGCTCTGGCATGAAGCCAGTGTCAGCTGCGATGGGTAATCAAGTTTAAAAATAAGAACAAAGGATCTGTGTCGTGTTATCTTGAGCCACCCTGTGAAACCCGGTTGGCTACAGCAATATTTACATTTGCACTGCAAATCACTCCTCAGTCTCGATAGATTCCAAAAGAGTCTCCGCGTCCTTGTGGGTGATGAACTATTTCTCATCCTACAACTTCTTTGTATTCTCAGATCGAAAATAGTGTACTGCTGCCATACATAAATATGAGCTGCCCAGTCTTTACTTACCAGTTTTGGTTACGCTGTGCCTTTTCTATAAATACTTTCATGAGTCCAAAAGAGTCTCCGCGTCCTTGTGGGTGATGAACTATTTCTCATCCTATAACTTCTTTTTCACGGACGAAACGTCGCAGCTCTCTCGCTGCTCTATCGCAATTTTCATGCAAAGCGTTCAGACGAACTCGATCCCTTAGTTCCACCAGTTCTAATCTTCACGGCAAAAACTCGCCATGCCGCGCAGATTGTAGCGAACAACCTTCATTCCCTTCGTATTCCAGTGGTGAGATGTAAGTTCCACTTTAACAGCTTCTTTCCACGACCCGCCACTTTGTGGAATCGACTCCCAAGATGATGCTTCCCCGAGCATTACAATTTTAACCTTTCAAGTTTAGAGCTATTTTTATCTTCCACACACAGTCTCTGTAACCCTCTACCTTGAGTGGCTTTTGGGCCTTGTACAGACCGAAGATTATTGTAAAACAAAGCAACAAATATATATATATATATATATATATATATAAAACATGCCTTAAATTTCGTCTTCACCTGTGAGGAAATTATCGTCATTCACTGACATATTGAAAGATGAACTTCCATTGCATGTCAACACTATTTTTTGAGTTTGAAACGAAAATTTACATCATACAACACATCGAACGACAGAGAATCAAGTGGTTCGAACACCTCACTCATATGCCTATCAACCAACCAGCCCTACGAGCATACACCCCCAGGTTCTCTGACTGGAGAGCGAGAGGCAGCCCAAAGAGACGCTGGAGCGACTCAGTGGCAGGCACTCTCAGAGCCCACGAGATATCTCTCCTCCAGGCCACTCGCCTTGCCGCTGACAGACGACTGTGTTTCCTTTCGATACCTAACAGCACAAACGGAAGGAGAAACAAACAAACAAAAAACGAAAATTTACTGTTTCTTAATACTTTGAAAGTCATCGTCAGTTCTTAAATGTGTCTTTGCAGTTTGGTTTTGCAATTTCTGTCATCATTTAAAACACTTCCCAGATATTCAAAATTTTCTATTTATTTGATTTTAATCTCTCCAATTCTTATGGTGTCTCTTTTTCTGGTGACCTTAAATTATGCCTTCCAACAATTATTAGTCCTACCTTTCCACTATCTTTTACCACGATGTTTAAGAGGGAACCTCAGTTTTTCTTCCATGTCGTCATCAACGTTATTTTATGGCGTTAAGACTGTGCCCACCAATAGTAAATCGTGGAATGATTTCTCGAGTTTTCTTAGGATTACCTCGCTGCATAATTTGAATAAATGGTTTAAAACTTAGTGAGCGAGTAGTAAGTCAAATTATTTTAGAATATGAAAGGGTAGTTAATTTTTTGTTTTGTTTTTATTAAGGTCAAACTCTTCCGGCGTCCGAAATAAACTGAACAATTTGCTGACCAAATTATCGCTCGACCGAATTTCTGCAGGCGCCAAAAACCGGAAATGACGAAGCGTAACAAATATAAATCGTTGCTCAGTCAAAAAAAAAAAATCTCTGAAAGAACTCAGGGCCTAAAAATGAAATTCGTTTATCAAAAGGTCAGATAAACGTATAAAAATAAATATTAAGAAAAAAAAATGTCTGGAAACAATATAAAATAGGTTAATTAAAAAACTGATAGCAAAATTCTGTATAAAGCAATGCAAAACATTTTTATTGAATTTATTGATATTTTTTTAGAAATAGATGTACTGAAAAATTAGGGATGAGTTCTATCTATCTATCTATCTATCTATCTATCTATCTAATGCAATCTGTTCATATCTATCTATCAATCTCTCTTTCCATCTGTTCATATCTATCTATCTATCTATCTATCTATCTATCTATCTATCTATCTATCTATCTATCTGTTTAATGCTTTTTCATATCTATCTCTTCTTTCTTTCTGTCTATCGTTTTCTTTCTATCAAAAATTCCTTCTTGAGCAATGCTACATTTGTAATGGGCTGTTAGACAATCTATCTATCTATCTATCTATCTATCTATCTATCTATCTATCTATCTATCTATCTATCTGTTCATGTCTATATCTCATTCTGTTCTTATCTATCTATCTATCTATCTATCTATCTATCTATCTATCTATCTATCTACAAAAGTATATGAGTCTTTGTATGCGTTCTGATGATGGGATCCATTTACTAAATAATCTCTACACTCGATAATCAACAATCAAGATTATTTGAAAATACGCTTTATTCTGGCTGATATCGTAAGTGGCAAAAGGCAGCCGGACAAAATGACGGCATGAGTGAAAAAAAGGAAATACGCAAAGAAAAAAAAAATGGTTGCAAAAATGAAATGGTAAAGAGGCAACGTGTTTCGATGAATTTATTCAAATTGCAGCGATGGTGTGATTGATGTCAGAGGAGAATGAGGTATTACTCGCAATCTTTGCATTTACTTTCTCGTTTAAGTCCATATACGTTTATATCTTGCGTCCATTATAATTCATCTCTACGCAGAAAGAGACCCGCACTGTTTTCAAAAATGTAGTGGTCTTAACCAAAGACAGTTGTCAAAGTTTTCAACATACAATCCGTCTGAAGTTATTATGCAAATGACATAAACCCCAACAATTCGAATTTGATGTAAACAATATTTGTCAAATTTTAAACAATTAATTTAGATGTCCAATCCAAACCTTTAGTTAATTTTTAGGTTGGTTGTTTTTTTCTATGGGGTATTTAATGCCGAAATCTAAATATTTTGAACTACCTTTAACTACGGATAAAATGCTATTTACCTTGAGCTCCCTGATAAGATCCGAAGAATCAGCAATATTATTGGTCCTGATCTGGCGTCTCGGCTTCACTCACTTGCCCACCGCAGGAACGTTGCCTCTCTGTGCCTTTTTTATAAATACTTTCAAGCCCAGTACTTGACTGGCGTCGACATCTCACCAATTGACAGTTGAGCAGGCTAGATGTAACCGTACATTCTATGCTAACTGTTTCTTTTCTCGCACTTCTCGCTGGTGGAACTCCCTTCCGGTTCCATGCTTTCCCGGCAATTTTAATCTACAAAAATTTAAATGCAATGTCAATCGCTATCTACTGTCCTCCCGATTACTCTTTTCCCTTTCCGCTTATTATTAATGCTTTTGTTCCTAATTCTTCCGCACCCAGTAACCCTTTGTGTCTTAGTGGCTTTATTGCCTTGCACGGGGTGATACCGATTTAAAAAAATCTGTTTCTAAATACAAATTTGGTTTACGACCACGTCACGTTGAAACCCCCGGTTCCCGTATGGTTCTCCGAAGTTAAGCAACGTTGAGCCTGGTCAGTACTTAGATGGGTGACCGCTTGGGAATGCTAACTGCTGTAAGCTTGCGTGTGGTGTAGAATTGTCAACCAGAGAGTGAAGTTCCAAGTCCAGTTGGGTTCGTTATATTCACATACGCAAAAATAACTTTCGGAAAAGTATAAGTTCGCCCCCACCTCCTCACTCAGCTATAGGTTAATCTGTAAGAGTTGCCTCACAAAACTATTATTATTTAAAAAAAAAAATTACAATCTAGAAATATTTTCTAGCTTTAAATAACCTGTAAAGGGTTGATAATACGTAGAAAATCGATCAATCAAATCCAAATACTAATTTAAGAGCCATTTACTATTTCCACATAGTTAAATCACCGTCATTACCCACGTATTCCTTTGGTAAGAAGAGCGTACCTCATACGAAAGCTTTTTTTTTTTTTTTTTTTAAAAGAAGCACCACTTTGTAAAACAGACTCCCGCGTGGATGCTTCCCATATCATTATAATCTTAACAGTTTCAGGTCTAGTGTTAATCGTTATCTATCCGCTATATCCTCGTAATCTCCTCTTTCGTTCATACGACACACCTCATTCATTTTACCTTGAGTGGCTCTTGGGTCAATAATAGAATTACCCTCGTTGGTGGTAGATACGTAGATTGCCCAGTGCTCCCACATCGCTACCAGATGTGACTCAAGGTGGACGTTTAAAGTTGGTTTAAAACGACAATACCGTGGCCGAATGGTTAGAACGTTCGCATTCTGACCAGTAGACCCGGGTTCGATTTGTCCAGAAGGCGACTTCCTGATGTTATCGCACTGGAGAGGATCGATCCCAGCGGTACCTTTGTAAAGTGCCTGAAAACCATACGACGGGTTGACCTAAGCCTTGTGAGTGAAATTGGGTAGACGGAACCCTTGGGTGCCGTCGATAGCTGTGTTAGCACGAAGTCACAAGTCATCGTGACCGAGGGCTTGAACGTGCTGGCCTTGTTCAAATTGTTAATCACGCTAGATAACACGCTCTTTCACAGAAACTGTAACTAAGGTCTGTTCAGCACAGTTGCAGTGTAAACCACAGGTTGGCTCTGTGGGTGTTGAATAAACACAAAATGTGCCTGAGCAAGCGTCAGCAATAGGGATTGGCTAGCCGTCCTAGTAGACAGGTATCCTCGAATACAAGTGGCTAGCAATACTATACCGTAAAAAAATTGCTTAATCCCCCTCGGCACTTCCCACGTTCTTCGGTAGTGGATAAGACTCGCTATATATACTTAATACTAGCAGCATGGCCCGGCGTTGCCCGTGCTTGTATTCAAAAATCGTACGACTCATACAGCAATCGCTATCACTTGACTTAAGATATTTTTGCCCTTCCTTGCCTTTAAAGGAGTGCCCTTTGCCGTGCTGATGTTGCTACATGCCTCACTTCTTGCCTATCTTACACTGCAAATTTTTTCTAAGCTCTATACTAAACATTAAATCTGTTACGAAAAAAAGAACTAAACAAAATGAACACAAAACGATCAGCTTTAAAAAAAGACTCATAACTGGAAAAACCGAATGAAAAAAGAATGTTAACAACAAATACTTTTTCACACCCAACCCAGTTCTGCGGAATCAGAATCAACGTTGAGTTTAAGCAAGCGAATGAGCCAATTGGAGTAAAGTGCCATGCAGATTTAAATTTTTCCCACTTGTGACGAATGCAGCTATCGATATTTTTGTATGCTAGCATGCTAGTTAACATTCGTGTCAGTCAGCTCTTGTTTCTCACGCTGGCCAATAGAATCTTCCTGCCTATTCGTGGCAGCCAGCTATAGGCTCTCACTCTGGCCAGTAGAAAATGGCCACAAACTACATGAAAACTGCCGTAGAAGCATGAAAAAATCGATTATTTTCACTATCGATGGGAGTTGGGAAATGTAAAGTCGGCCTTGGCCTTCCCGATAACTTGGAGCATGTGCATGTAAATTTTGGTGCAAATCCGTCGAAAATTGCGGCCGTGCATTCGTTACACACACACAGACACACACGCACACACACACACACACACACACACATCCTGACTTTTATAGATAGAGCTTAATTTACAATATTACAGAGTTAGACTTGATACAAGTACGGTTAGTTTACAGCAGTGTTTCTCAAGATTTTTAATTTTTTTATTTCAGGACGCTCTTGTAAAATAACTTGGGCGCACTATTAAATTTTAATAACGAAAAATTTAGTCATGAAATTTGAAGATTGAAATTCTAGTTTAGAATTCCGAATGAAGATTAGTGGTACATTTTTAATTTATAGAGATTATCTGCATTTTTTTTTCTTTTCTTTTTTTTTTTTAAGACGCCGATAATGACGGATTAAAATGCTTTGATGAAGGGCAAAAGAGGAAAGCTCACCCACTTCTTAAAGATTAAGGAATTTAGCATCGAGTTTAAAATATCAAATGACAAAGACTTAGAGATGGAAGCTACGTATATCCTTTGTGTCTCTAGCTTTTTCAAAATAAAGATTTTTTTAAATATAAAAATAATCCATATTTCAGTGCCATGTGTGATACACGCTTCGGGATCATGCATCTTTAGACACATGATTGTGGAGGCAAATCTTTTCTGCAGTAGGTTGCCATTTCTTTCTGCAGTAGACCAGTTGCCATCCAAGGCTATATAAGTCGGGCCTGTTCTACTAGTTACCCATAGCTAGGGGAAGAAGAAGAAGATTCATACCTTTCCCAAAAGTATTAGCACGTAAGTGAATGTAAGGGACTCAACTGGAATTCGAACTCGGCTCTCCCATTCCTCAATCCGAGCCGCTATCCATTACGCCACCGTTTACTCTCCTCTCATCTTGCTGGCACACCGTTACCTTTCAGTGAATATTGGTAAGCCCGGGCGCATCATTGCGCAAGAGCGCATTTGTACGCCCGGTTGAGAAACACTGCTCAAGTCACCCATACCATTTAGATCAGCTTCACCTGTCACTTAACATCTTCAAGTTTAGCATTAATCATTATCTATCCGCTATATCTCTATCTAAACTCTTTGTAACACCAAAGATAAACTGAAGGCAAGGATTATGGTAGCATAAACCAGCTTAAACAAGGAGACCGTCCAGAACAGTTGCAGGACATTCCGAAGTTGTCAATGGCAATTTTATTGAAGAAATTTGCTCTTTAGTATTTCAAGATAAGTTTGTGTAATTTTCGTAAATATATCTGTTAAAATGAGATGTCAGTATTATTTTCATTTTCAAAGATTTTTCTTTCTTTCTTTTTTTTTTCTGGTTTCCGTTAAAAATTTAAATATAAATTGGCCGAGAACGTTCAACTTTCATAAGCCATTATCAAAGAGTTGTTTGTTTTGCGCATGACACTGAAATAGCACAACAACAACAACAACAAGAATAATAAAAAAAAAGCAGCAGCAGCATGAGTAAGTATCGTAACTTATTTGCGTCTTTCCAGTCGGTTGCCCACGTGGCATCGATTTGTTTGATTGAGCCTTTAGAAATATGAATGAGTTTCGCATGCGTCAGGATCAAGGCGTTTGCGAGTGCGTTTCATGCGTCATGAGTATGGGTGCCTGATGAACCATTGACGGCATGTGGGAGTCAGTGTGCGTGCGTGTGTGTGGGTGGGTGCGTGTGTGTGTGCGCGCGCCCGAACGCGCGTACGTATGTGTGTCTGCTTGTTTTGTTTATTTTCTGCTGTATTTAACGATGATTTCCGAAAAGGAATGGCTCTCAGGCCGAGTGCTGATGCATGCTCACGAGGATAACTATGTGGTTTGCATTAGTCAGACTCAGAAATAATCTATCTATCTATCTATCTATCTATCTATCTATCTATCCCAGTCCATGATCTATCTATCTATCTATCTATCTATCTATCTATCCCAGTCTATCTATCTATCTATCTATCTATCTATCATCTCTTCACATCCATCAATTTATCTATCTATATTAGTCTGTTCATACATACATTTATCATATCTATATTACACACACACACACACACACACACATACATATATATATATATATATATATATATATATATATATTATCAAATGTTTAATTATATAGTATATATGATATTATTATTTTTCATGTATTATATTATTATATAATTTTATATATAATCTATAAAATATGTATATATTATATATAAAATTATAAAATACGATTAAAATATAGATTAAATATAAATTCATATTAAAAAATTATCATTGTTCTGAAATTTCTTGCTTATGGGTGTCATCAAGCATAAATTTAATATGTATCTTAAAACAGTTTTTACATCAAACACTGTGTCCCCCCCCAGCACTATATATATATATATATATATATATATATATATATAGAAAGAGAGATTGTGAACATAGGAATCAACACTGCATGGTGGCTGTTAAATTTACACTTCATCTCTATTCTCAGACTAGACGTTGCTGAAATTCGAATTGATGCATGAAACTGACAGTCACCATACACTGTTGATTCCTATGTCTATATTTTATATAACTATGATGATATTGAACAAATCCACTTTGGAAACACCATAAATTAGAAACAGTATATATATATATATATATATATATATATATATATATATATATAACTAAATTATGTCATTCGAAGACAGTAATGTTCCGCTGTATCACAGCTCTTCACTGCGACTAAACATTTCAAATGTCTCAAGGCCGGATCGAAACCCAACCGATTTGGTGTCAGTCAGAGTGTCTACCATTAAACTATCTTCATTTGATAGAGAGAAACATTGCTTTTACGAATGTAAACAAACGCCAATCAGCCGGAGTGCTCCAATTCATTTTTACTGAAGCAGCTTTGCATTAAGGTGGCTGTTGTGTATAGAATTAGCCTGTCTCTCAATAGCGCTCAATTGAAATATATTTTTCAAGAACTAAATTATGTCATTCGCAGACAGTACTGTTTCGCTGTATCACAGCTCTTCAGTGTGACTAAACATTTCAATGTCGCAAGCCCGGATCGAAACCCAACCGATTTGGTGTCAGTCAGAGTTTCTACCATTAAACTATATATATATATATA